GCACTATGCAAAGCGGGTGGACTCAGCTTAGGTGCTGAGGTTCAACATAGTTCAACTCAGGTTGCTCAACTGCCTAGAGTCGCGACTGAGGCAGCGATTGATACAGATGGGTGGGCCAGCCAGCGACTAAAACTTACTGAGATCTTGGGAGGTTTTATGTAATTCCATGTTATTTTTCAATTGTGTTGTTTGCACTTTTTTGAACAAACACCTAGCTTGATGAGGTGACATTGGTGAGTGGGCGGCATCGAAGGTTAACCATCATCGAGTGCCCACAGGCTGCGCTGGCCGCTGGCCTTTCCTATCCTTTCCTGCCGCCGTGAACTCCAAGGAGTGTTTCGGAGTGGTCTCGGTTGTGCCTCAGGAGATGTCCGCCATGTTGGATTTGGCCAAGATTGCTGATTTGGTGCTCCGCTTGGAGGGAAAACATGACTCATGGAACCGGGGGGAGAGTTTCAACAAGGGGGTTGATCGCGATAGATTGAGGTGATGACATGGATCACTGTTTCTGAAGTCGCAGCAGAAACACTAGTGTCGGCATGCTTGGAATTGTCTCCCACGGGCTGCAGAAATTTCAGGTGTTGCTTCTCATAGACGCATCCTACGGTTTTGAGCTTGAAACCTTCGAGTTCATCAACATTTTGCAAGTGCAGCAGACTTGGGGAAGCCCTTGCATTTTTTTTTGGTGTGTGTTTTTTTTGCAATGCAATCTTATTAGAAGAAGCTGTGGGCAATTTGTGGGTGAACAATGGTGAACATGTTTCCAAGGCATGGGTTTCCTCGTGCCTAAAGCTCAGTTTACTTCGCGCAGTAACTATGACTTGGACATACTGTAAAGGCTTCCAAGTCCTTCCAGTCATGCAGATGCTGCAAAGGCAGCGAACAAAAACATAGGCTACACACGGCATATATCACTCACTCAATGATGTATTACAGCCTTTCGGTGTTGTTCAGGTCATCGGCGTTCTTACACATTTGGATTCGTTCAAAGAGAACAAGCAGCTCAGGAAGGTGCTGCTCCCAGCTCGGAACACCAGCGCAAGAACGAAGAAGTGTTGCTGGAGATCATGAGTTTAAACAAAAAAACATTGGCTGATCCACCATCTGGGAAATCTACAAGGATCTACAAGGAATCTATAGAAAACGAAAGCGTTTGGGGGCTCGTTTTCTCTTGGTTTTTCCTTGGGAGAAATGGAGAAATATGTGGCGTTAATTGTCTAAGGTCAAAAAGACGATGAAACATCGCTTTTGGAGCGGAACCCAGAAACGACGGGTCAAGCGAGTACCTGGGGTAAAACAGGATAGAACGGTGACGTACAACAGGTTAGAGTCCGCCGGTTACAAAATAGCGTCATATTATAACTGTATGCTATATAGATCCATATAGTTTATGTTATTTGATATTATATTAATCTGTATGTATGTATAATATATGATTATAAATTATATATACATACACGTATAATGACGTATATATACATTATATATATAATATACAAAATATTGCGACATGCACACAGGATTGGATATCAACGACCGAATTTTCCCGCCGAACGTTTCCCTCAGGGCTGAACTGTACGATGGCGCGAAGCTCTTCTACTTGAGTGGATTGCAGTACGGGTGTGACGCCAAGAATGCTTTTTCAACATTGAATGAGTCGGGTACCCACAATGTTGGATTGGTCCTAGTTAAAAAATGCCAACACATGATATGGGTGGCTGGGTCTTTTACACACCAAAACCGAACGAAATTGTTGTACAAGAGGATGAGGACTGGGGATCAATCCTCTCAACGATTTGACAGGCGTTATCACAGGCTGGAGATCCAGAATCTGGCTCGCTTTATTGCTGTCCTGGGCTCAGAGATTCAAGCTTCCTTCAGGGTGACTATTGCACTATATTGCACTCAACTGTAAAGTTTTCCAGACATTTGCAGTATACATATATATATATATAAGCATATATACAGTACAGTGTAGAATTACATGCAATCTATGCATCATTTACATTCATTTACATTCATTTACATCATACATGTGGAGTCGCCTCGTCGCCTTTGTTTCTGCCAGGTGCAGAAGGCCCCCATTTTGTCGTGGCGCCAGAGTCATCCCTACATCCTGGCGCTGCGCTGGGAAGACCAGACGGACCCCACCTTGGCGGAGACGGCGCCCAGGCACCGATTGGATCCGATTGGATGAAGTGGATGAAGGATGAAGATGGATGAAGTATTTCTATATTTTCTATATTTTCTAATTCTATGTATTTCTGTCTTTGTTGTTGGATATTCATCTGGATATTCATCTGGATTTTCTATGAGTTGTTCAGAACATTTCAGAACGTTCATGTTCTTTTGTGGCAATCTTTGGTGGTTGTAGACATAGAGGTTGTAGATGCTTGTATCCCGAATTTTGTTGGCATCAATCTCAAGATATCTTCAGCATTTTTCCTCAATGATACCTGGAGGAGGAACAGAGGAGGGCATTTGTGTTGGCTGTTTGCATCAACTTGCACGCAGAAAAACAAATCGTCTTGTATGTAACCACTTGAATTTTGGAATCGTAAGTTGCTGCGCATCAGGAGAGTTGATTTGTACGGCTATGCCGGGCACTTGGAACAGAGAAGGACAGCCGGAGGGGATGAGACTCCATGGTGGCTAAGCTGTTTGGATTGCTCAGCTGTCCCGATTGTTTCCTGCACAATGGGAGATCTTCCATACTTGGCGGTAGCAACAATGGTTTCCCGTAACATTTCCATACATTTTCTTTCAACCAACATCAACCAACGAATGATTCTTTCAATGTGAATCAGCACAACTTCAGCCCCACGGCCCAAGGTCTATGGAGGAAGATTGCGAGAAGGACTCGAAGTGACTCAGCTTTAAAGATGTGGAATGAAACGGATGAGACAGTGGACATATCATGACATGTGTGACATATCCCCCTTAGAATTCTGCAAACGGGACGACCCTGACATCAGCAGCGTAACCTCAGCACTGAGCCTCAGCACTTGAGGTGCACCTTCCTGGTGTAGGAGTGGCAACTCTGGGTGTAGCCAGCTGTGACAAGCTCTTTGACTTGGTTGCGGTTTATGAATGCCAATGATGTGTATGATCTGTATGCTGATGTTGGCATTGGGATGCGAAACGCTACTTTGTTACTGTTTGAAGATGAGTCGTTATGTTTTCTCCGTATGTCAGGAGACTTCAACGTAGCGGGCATCAAGAAACTATCTGATCCGACGCTACCTCAGTGTCTCTTTCATGCTTTCCAGTGCATTTTCCCTCAAACCAACCGAAAAAATGACTAGTGACTAGTGACACTTGGTTGGGTGCCTCAAAATATCTGGTTGTCAGCAGATGTCAGCAGTTTTCAACATCATTCAGGATGAGGATCCGCATTGAGGTGTCCCCCTCCCATGGAGACGGAAGCTGAGCGGAGAAAGGCAGCTGCGCGAAAGCCGGATGAGAAGTCGGGGGGCTCAGCCTGGCTGTGGGCACCAAAATCATTGATTTCCAGGGGGGACATGTTATCTGTATATATGATTATACCCAATAGTATATATATATATAGAATATATAACTGTTCAATACTGTTCATAATGATTCAGAACTAGGAATTACAGTGATAATTGTAGTTGTAGTTCTCCTTGTCGTAGTTGTAGTTGGAGTAGTTGTTGTAGTAGCTCCATTGACCATTGATCAGCAAATGTTTCTCCCATCCATCGCATTTGATGGCGTCATTGGCTGCATGTCACCAGGGGCGCAAGGGCTTTCATCCACATGTGGCCCATAGATGTCCTTTTTGCGCTGGTTGCTTAATTCATACAGAAACAACCTGAAACAAGCAATAGCTTCATTATGAACTAAATGGGGTTGATGTTTCAAAGAGAAATAGCAAAGTAAGTCATGACTTAGGATAGTCAATAGATGTCAATAGGCTGAGCAGGTATACGAAACCAGCCCGCAAAATTGACAGAATTCTGGGTGAAATCTCAGGCCGAAGACGAAGAATGCACTTCGCACCTTGGCAGAGCGTCATCGTGTGGTTTATGCTCCCGGCTCGGACATCGGCAGCATCACGGTGGATTCGGAGGCGGGAGACCCAGTGGACCTGTGGCTTTGTGCACAAGCTGTGGATACCCCCAAAAAAGCGCTTTTAATTGGGAGGAAATGGATCAATCATGAGATTTTGGGTAATGGTTGTGTCTTCAGACAAACCAAATGATTCCAAATGTACTGGTCAAACGGTATGCCATGTTGGCATTTGTTTTAATTGTTTTCTTCGTTAAATCCTCATTTCGGCAGTTAGATTTATATCCTTTTCTTTTTATTATTTTTCCCGAGAGCGTCTGAGCGCAGGGTTCTTCCAATAGTGGGGGTCTGTATCTCATCTTCTCATCTTCACACCTTCTCATCTTCACACCTTCTCATCTTCACATCTTCTCTCACACCTTCTCATCTTCACATCTGCTCATCTTCACATCTTCCCATCTTCACATCTTCTCACACCTTCTCATCTTCACATCTTCTCTCACACCTTCTCATCTTCACATCTGCTCATCTTCACATCTTCTCATCTTCACATCTTCTCATCTTCACACCTTATCATCTTCACATCTGCTCCTCTTCACATTTGCTCTTCTTCACACCTTCTCTCACACCTTCTCTCACACCTTCTCATCTTCACACCTTCTCATCTTCACACCTTCTCATCTTCACACCTTCTCATCTTCACACCTTCTCATCTTCACACCTTCTCATCTTCACACCTTCTCTCACACCTTCTCATCTTCTCTCTCTCTCACTCTCTCTCCTCTTTCCTCTCTCCTTTCTCTCTCTCCTTTCTCTCTCTCCTTTCTCTCTCCCTTTTCTCTCTCTCTCGCCTTCTTTATCTTTCTCTCTTAGGCCGAGG